GAAGGGGGGGGGGGGGGGGGGGGGGTGCCCACATCTCTGCACATCCTCTTAAAATCCAGCCATGAATTTAGTAGCATTTTTACGCAATTCAAATTGCCTAATTTTAGGGAGGCTTTACCTTTTTGCCTACTTTTAATCGACATAAAGAAAGTGAATGTTATTGAGAAACTGGTGTTATCATCATCCTCAATGGTATGAAATAATTTATAAAATTACATCTTTAGAATTACTTTAACTGAATCATGAATAATTAATGAGCTGTAAAAAAGTCACTTGACTCACTACCGTACTGTGTCAGCATGTGATCTTAATTAGCATAGGTTTGCGATCAACTACCAACATCATCATAACTACCAATATCACCATACCTACCATCATCACCATAACTACCATTATCACCATAACTACCATCATCACCATAACTATCATCATCACCATAACTATCATCGTCACCATAACTACCACATCACCATAACTACCATCATCACCATAACTACTATCATCACCATAACTACTATCATCACCATAACTACTATCATCACCATAACTACCATCATCACCATAACTACCAACATATCACCATAACTACCATCATCACCATAACTACTGTCATCACCATAATTACCATCATCACCAAACTACCATCACCATAACTACCATCACCATAACTACCATCATCACCATAACTACCATCATCACCATAACTACTATCATCACCATAACTACTATCATCACCATAACTATCATCACCATAACCATAACTACCAACATATCACCATAACTACCATCATCACCATAACTACTGTCATCACCATAATTACCATCATCACCAAACTACCATCACCATAACTACCATCACCATAACTACCATCATCACCATAACTACCATCATCACCATAACTACTATCATCACCATAACTACTATCATCACCATAACTATCATCACCATAACCATAACTACCAACATATCACCATAACTACCATCATCACCATAACTACTGTCATCACCATAATTACCATCATCACCAAACTACCATCACCATAACTACCATCACCATAACTACCATCATCACCATAACTACCATCATCACCATAACTACTATCATCACCATAACTACTATCATCACCATAACTATCATCACCATAACCATAACTACCAACATATCACCATAACTACCATCATCACCATAACTACTGTCATCACCATAATTACCATCATCACCAAACTACCATCACCATAACTACCATCATCATAACTACCATCACATCATAACTACCATCATTATTTATACCTTCCTGACCATAACTACCATCATCACCATAACTAAAAACATCACCATAACCTACCAACTGTATTCTGTGTTACATTTTCAGGAAGATGTGCACCATAAGATAGCTGAAGGATCTGCTAGAATAGGACCAACTTTAACACTAAACACTCTGGTGGAAGTACTGGTCATTCAGATTGGAACGTATTCAGGTTAGCGAGGTCGTTTTGAACATAATCATTGATCACAAATGTAGCTAAAAGTAGTATTACCCCCCCCGTATAGCGGCGGAAGTGCCGTATAGCGGCGGAAGTAATTAGTATGCAGGAACGAGTAGAGCACCGGAAGTAATTAGTATGCAGGAACGAGTAGAGCACCGGAAGTAATGAGTATGCCGGAAGTAATGAGTATGCCGGAAGTAATGGGTATGCAGCAGCAATGACGTCATGGAAACCCGGAAGCAGGGAAATGTTCAGAATTGCTTACAGCGGTGAATATTTGAAAAATTTATTAAGTTTTACAGTAGTTTACAGAGATTTTGATAATTATAGTGTTTTTAGAGTTTGTGCCAGACACATCCGCAGAAGGTTAATTCGCCACATTCTAGCGAGAAATCGAATGTCAAGTTTGCCAGTATTTCGTTTAGGATTTCCGTACACTTCTTGTGGATTGTTGTTTGACAGCATCGGGTTTTCTTCAATTCTTGTCCGGTGATTTTGTTTTGTAGACACAGATAACAGAGTTCCTTGTCCGGGAATGGTGCTCTGCAGTACCCGCCCCGTACGGTTTCGATATCTGTTCCAATGTAATGTGTCGCCCACATCTGGAGACACCGACAGTGGGCTTTTTGTTGGCAGCAATGCATTGTCATCGCCAGTAGCTCGTTTCCATTAATTTCTTCGAAACAGAAATAGCACTGTCCCGGTTCTGCTGTATTTTCCGCCAGGATTCCAAAGACAGGTATGTTTGCTGGTGGTATGACATCTTCCGGCGCTGGTAGAACTCCTACGTATTCCATTTCGGTGTGTGGTTGATGATTATGGGGAAGTGTATTTATACTAGAGGTGTACATACGCGTACGGGGTGTACATACGCGTACGGGGTGTACGTACGCGGTGTACGTACACCCCGTACATATACTATGTATGTACATGGTGTACGTACACGGTGTACATACACCCTTGAACTACGTCATGATCATACTCGTCTCTGATTGGTTAGCTGTGTTGGATGGGGAATATAAATAGAGGAGACGAGCGATTTTTGTTTTTATGTTTATAGTTTTTGTGAAGAGATGAGGTGCTTACACGGTGAACCCGCTGCTCATTCGACAACTCAAAATGGTTCATTTTGGTTTTGCAATCAGAATCCTAGCTGCAATTTCTTTTGTTGCGAAGATGAGGGTTATTTGTATGAAAAAGCCATAACTGCATGGAGAGCTACGAAACAGCCTCATCCTCGATGTGGTGGACATAGTAAACTTGCGAAAATTCGGGTCGTTAGAGATTTGATGAAAGCAAGTTAGGGAAGACCGTTTTTTGTATGTTCTAACAAGCTGAAGCCGTGTTCATTCTGGGTATGGGGCGATGTACAACCTTTAGTCAAACCAGAATGTCACCATGGATTACCGTGTATGATTCGTAAAGTGAAAAAGGAAGGTCTCAATAAAGATCGAAAGTTCTTCTGCTGTTCAAATGACAAGGAATCTTCATGCAAGTACTTTGATTGGGTGCCTGAGGAGCCTCATCAAGATGTCAGTTTTGTGGAACCCCTTTCAAGTAAACCAACCAAAAAGCATGAGGAACATTACCTGGCAAACAAATTCATAAACGATTTTGCTAATAGTTTGAACATTTAATATGTGTTATTTTTCAAAAACTGTTATAAAGAATAGTGTTAATAAAAATGTTTATTCAAAATTGTCTATTATCTATAAAGTCCAAACTGTTTAGATCATTTAGGAAGTCCAGGTTCGCATCGCTTGCTAGTGACAGTCCCAACGGTTGCTGTGGGGTTTCTTGTTCTCTGGTTTCTTGTGTCTCCTGGTTTTGGTTTTGATTGCCTTCATAGAAGGCAAGAAATTCGTTGAGAAAGGTGTGATTTTTTTGTTCGGCGTACGCCCAGAAAGCCTCCAACCTTTTTATTTATTTTTTTTTATTTTTGTTTTTTTTATCAAGTCTTATTTTTCTTTGTCATTCTGCTTCTTTTTTCTTGTCTTTTCCCATAGCTTTTTGTTTTTTGTCGACTTGTTGTTGTTTGTGGGATTCCCGCCGTTTTGTGTTTCCACATGCTTGTTTGCTGCTTCCGCTTTTGGAAAATGAGCGTTATGCAATTATTAATAATAGTTACCAATGAACATTGCGCAATATTTATTTGTGTTTAGCACGCTTAATATGATTAATTTCGACCTCTATCTTCCCACGCTTTCTGCATATTTTTCAGGAAATTAACAATACATTATAATGCATAGTATTGTGATTTCAACTAACCAATATTATGCATGTCTGAAAGGAAGGATTATTATAGTTCAATTTCAAGATAAGCTGAGCTATGACCGCTGTCTTCTCACACTTTATGCATAGCTTTCAAAGTGCTTATATAATTACGGAGGAAATAACCGGTTCATTAGCGTACGTAGTTTAGACCAGTATTTATTCGTATACATGAAAGGATATATTTCACTCGGAATTTAGACAGATCTACGTTTTCTGTTGTGTTTTGCATTTTACTTTTTGTGCATGGAAGCACCCCATGTTGTCTGGAACGGCGTCTTGCTGTTTTTTTTGGACTGTAGGGGCTTTGCGCTGGAAACCATCGAGGGGCTGTGGAGAACAGAAGAAGAATGGGTTGTGGGGATTGACTTTAGGCAAAACCGTCTTATTAGTTTAAATATAACAGAGCTTTTGTTATATTTCCCGAAATTACAACATATTGACGTGCGGGACAACCCCACACTTGACTGTCGAACCGTTTGGGATTTGGGGATAGACGTCAGGAGTGATTGTAAGTTTATTTCATTTATGTTAGCATTTGTGCAAGTTGGCATTTGCTGCAACTTATAGTAATATAGTTTGACTTTCTCTTCAATTAGGAATGCCGGATATGGTATCGAATTCGGGTGTTACGTTTGGGTCTACAGCCATTTCCACACCCCCACCCAGGACCACGGACCCCACCGTACCTCGGGTTTTAATCCGAATCACAACCCCCACGGGGTCCTTGACTCGGCTTTTAGTTTCAACACCCGTCGGAGCCTCAGTCTCAGTGGCATCCTGGACCTTCATCCGGCTCTCAACCTTGATTCAATCTCGGATCCTACCCCCAACCCCCACCGGAACCCTAACCTCAGCCGCGTCCCAAACCTTGATCCGACCCCTGACGGTAGTTTCAACACCCGCCTTGATCCCGACCACTCCCCGAACCTTGATTCAATCCCTGATCCTAACCCCAACCCCCACCGGAACCCTAACCCCGGCCACGTTCCAGACCTTGATCCGACCCCTGACCATAGTTTCAATACCCGCCTTGATCCCGGCCACTCCCCGAACCTCAGTTCAATCCCGGATCCTAACCCCGGCCCTCACCGGAACCCTAACCTCAACCGTAGTCCTGACCCCCGCAACGGTTCCGACCCCTAATTTGTACCTTATTATTGTCGGGCTGACCGTAGGAATAGTGTTGCTTTTGGGTCTGTTTTACAGCTATAGGCTCTGTGTGGCGGCAGAGAAGCGCAGCTGCTACGCAAGGGCACTCTGGGACCGAGCTAATGTCACTGGGGCGGTCGGAGAGTGGCAAAAGCACAATAACAATGTCATGACACTGCACTGTAAATATAAACATTGCTTTTATGATCATAGGTCTTATATGTATATAAATATAAATAAAGGAACTATATGTACAATTTGTGAGTACTGATATACACTGAAGCTCTTAGCATGTGCTGCGTATACGGTTTTAACAGGGCTGTACATTTTAGCGTGTTTCAAATGGGTCTTATTTGAATGCATAGGCACGCTGAAATGAACAGTATAGAATTAATAGTATTTCACACTAATATTACGAATTGTTTTAGGGACGTATGTTTACTCTTGTATAAACATTATGTCGGATAATATATTATAAGCTATTGGGTTTTCCTGTCAAACACATGAGTGTTTATCGGAACATAATCACTTAGAGCAGAGGTCATTTAAACATAGATACCATTTCCGCGCTGTAAGTTTCACGTCTCCTTTAAGGCTGATTTCCACTGTTGCATTTTTCGTACGCACGTATACGCACGTAATACCTTAAATCCGTTTAAATGTTACTTATGAAATAACCAAATAAATAAAGCAACAGAATTTAGTGTTCCACAAGTTTTAGTATGCATTTGTTAACCCTTTTGTAAAATATTTTTAAAAATGTAAGGATTCAAATTTTACGTGCGTGTACGTGCGAACAAAAACGCAACAGTGGAAATCAGCCTTTACAATAAGACATTTTGTACGCAAGCTATTTTTATACATTCGTCATTTCGGGGATGTCATTATAAATTAACACAACAGGAAGGTTTTGCGGGCCCCTGCGGGACATGCCCTAAATTAGATTGTTTTTGATAACAGAACATAGCAGCAAGATATTGTTGTTTATAGAAAAACGTTAAAGTGAGCTGTCTTGTTCATAGTATATTTCTTCGTCGAGGGAATCGGAGAGGGAATCGATTGAGAAGTGGCTACGAGCATTGTTTAGTACGAAGAGTTCTCTGGAAACTGAACGGCGCCTTTTCCTCCTCTTCCTGATGGCATAAAAACAGGCTAAGGCAAGTGCTGTAGCGCCGGTTGGTAGCAGAATTGAGAGCAGTAGGAGAATATGATTTTTACCGGTTCCAATCGGGGAAGGGGTAGGGACGCTTGCGGTGGATGGTGTGATGATTTTCACCAGGGAGGTATTGGGTGCTGTCGAGCTTAGCACGAAGATGGATTTACAATGTGCTGGCGATGTAATGGCCGATGCTGTGGACTTGTCTGTGGTACGGGGACAGTCACTAGCAATGTGTACTCTTTCACGTAACATCTTTCACGTCACTAGCAATGTGTACTCTTTCACGTGGGGTTATGGCGTAGATCTATACGACGAATATTAGGGAAGTCGCCCATAATGGTTGAAAGGTTTACGATGGATATATTGTTCCATTTTAAGTCGAGGACCTCAACCCAGATTTGTTTTCCGTAGCGGGGAAAGGTCGTAATACCCAGTCTCAAGCAGTCTAAATAATGGGAACTTCTGAACTCAGCGCAATGATATGCGGACAATGACTTTATGAGCACAAACAGCACAAGGACGAACATTTTGGACAACATTTTAACAATATAAAACCTTGTTCTGTATTTTCCCGCGAAAATGTTTATTCACATGTGACTTTTTAATGTTATGTAATGAAATGTAGCTAGGAAACATAGTATTAGTGCGTAGAACTAATTATAGCTTAATGTAGGACTTTTAGATAGGATTTAATACGCTGTATATAGATGAATTTGATGTATATAAATAAATTGTTTCACATGTACATAGTATTAGTGCGTCGAGCTAATTGTAGCTTAACGTAGAACTTTTAGGTAGGATTTAATATGCTGTATATAGATGAATTTGTTGTATATAAATAATTGGTTTCACTTGTTGTATTCATTTGTTGTTTTGTTGCGATGGAAGTGATACTAGATGAACTGCAAACACAGGGCGTTGATATTGATATGAGAACATTATATCATACTATTAGTAATTTGCTTGAGGACCACGAAGCAACGTACAATCAAATGGCAGTGATTGTTAATCCTAATGAAATGCATGTTGTTTTTAACACGATCAACGTGACTAATTTTGGCCGTGCTATGGCCTATTTGGCTTTAGTTTATTTGATACACAAATCCGAAGATACTACACGTAGGGCCGTCCGTTTAGTCGCGGCCCCTTTGAGAAGCCTTGACCTTAGTGCATATCGAATTGAAGAAGAAATTTTTTTTCGTAGAATGATCGTAGAATTGAAAAAACAACGCCTTAATCAAAAAGGTGGAAACTTATTATCGGCTCTCTTACCACCAGTGTTGAGTGTACTCGGACGTTTACTGGTATGAAGCATGCAAAACGCATGGTATTGGTCCCGGAGTACGTGCTTAATCGTTATGAGCAGAAACAAAAGATTGAAACCTCCCCAATTACATCTAATATGATGCATTCCCTTTCTGCACAGCGTTAAAATGAGGAGAGGCTCCACACATGTCCAGTGTTAAATCAAAGGCGTACACGGCATAACCTTCTGGAAATTCTTCTCGGGATATGTCGTTTCCTGTGTTGTGATACATTTTCCCCGTACCAGAGAACAGTGTGGTGAATGCTTCAATGTATTTAGGTGCTGCGCCATAGGAAAGCTGCAAGGGTTTAAATGGCATTTCTTCTCCGTTGACGGTTATTCCAATGGAGGACATGCTGAAATGTTGGAAGTTGTACGGATTATTTTTTTAAGGCACCATTGAACGCGTCACTTTCGACCATACCAAAGACAAATGTTTTTGGCACCAGTCCATTGAAAAGGTTATCCTTCCTTAGGGAGGGATTTCCAGCGGGAACGATGAAGCTCTTGCATTCGACGCGACGGATAGGATAGATAGCAGGTCCCTTTTTCAGAGCTATTTCATGAGCCACGGAAATGCTAGGATTGACTTTCACTTTACGTATCCTGAGATAAGCATCAGTGAGTGTCACGCGGAAATCAGCATCGTCTTCGGAGGCCACCAAACAGAACTCGTCGCTGCTTCGTTTTAAAATAATTTTTAGATCTACGTAGCTCAACAGGAGACGTTCGGACATGAATATGTCGCTGAATATGGGGCCAGTCATTTCAACAGTTTCACTTGCTTTGCTGAAAACATATCTTGCTCTGAGACCAGCGTTGCCATTACCACCTGCCACCGTAGGATCCGCGACATCCATTTTTCCTGCAGTGTCTTTGTAATACAACGCAGCAGTGAGCTGTGAATCTTTTGCAGAGGGACCGTAATTCAGAAGGGTTTCCAAGTAAGCACGGTACGCATGGGTTCCGGTAGCCTGAGTGACTTGTTTCCCTTTCAAAAAGACATCCACCTGTTTGAACAGGCTGTGGAGGAAATTGTTCACCACTCCAACCTTAAACGGATTAGAAGGAAATTAATATTTGAAAACGCCGTATTCAATATGAAAAACACCATACCTTTTCGGCTGCTCCGAGATTCGTGCCATCAGGTTTTGTCACTTTCGCTCTCACCACAAGAATCATTCTAGCAAGGTCCACATAATCTTCAGTGCCCGGAAACAGGAACGTAATGACACCACCATCGGCTACACTGGAAACGGGTTGATGATCTACTAATCCAGGATTGTATTCGATCTTGTGGGGGTCTAAATGGATTCCCGACTTTTCAAGGTACTCGTCCATGTGGTGCTGCCTCTGCTCTTCGGTGACACTATCTTTCGGGTACCCACTCGCCTCCTGTTTAATTTTCAGGAATGTGTCAATATAGTCCTTGAACAGGTCATCCGAGGTTTCAGGAAAGTGCCACACTTCATGAATCTGTACGATTTGATAACCTTTCTCCAGCGCTTTCTCCAGGTCCACGCTACACCATGTACCCTGAATGGCTCTTTCATGGTCAGCATGGCCGCAGGTAGTCTGGCTACAGGCATCGGCACAGGTCCTGCAAAGCGCAAACATCAACTTGCCCTGGGTGCGATAAGGAAGAACAGGGTGGAACAAACCTCGAGGTGGAAGCACTGTGCATTTGACCAGACCAAAATAGGTGGAAATGCCGTCAAAGTTCTCGGTGATGATGCGCGGATGTCCCACAACCGTTCGCGTCATTTTATTGCACCAGGGATAAAGGCTTGTAAAATCCACATATCTAGAATGACATCATACATGACGTCATACATGACGTAGTAAAACATGACGTCATACATAACCTAGAAACATAATGTCAGAAATTTTTTCTCCCTACCTTATTTTCTCATCATCATTACATTCATGGTAAAGTCTCGACGCGTTGGTTCGTCCTCCGTATAGGGCATCACGAGGTTCCAAGGGATCGACTCCATCATACTGATCAAAGTAATATTTCATGTCTTCATTATCTGCCAATTCCCGATTGATTCTACATTCCCAAACTTCTACCACGTTGTAGCCCTGATTTTTCAAATACTGTATCTTTTCCACGGTTTTTTGATGAAGATCGTGCATGGTTTTACCTTTGACAGGGTTCATTGTATCACGAGCGTAACAGTTTATACATCCTGTAAGAAATAAACAAAAATACTATTCTAAAATACTATTCTAAGGGGGCGTTTATACGAGGGAGGTGTTTATTCAAACACTTACCATGCCAGAAACATCCATGGACTTCAGAGGCCGTGCGGGTTTCTTCATGATAACCGTCCAGCAAATACGGACCAACACGTTTCTCTCCGCCGTTGCGAGCATGTTGTATGTAGATCTCGTTTTGTTCGGCCGTATACGATAACCATTTTTGTGCAAGAAGGGACTGTTTGTTTTCGGGACAGTAACCGCGCGGTGGGATGATGGCAATGGTGTTTTCACGAAGATAGTTAGTCCGATACACTTGATTGCATGCGGACGCGATAGTAAGGCATTTCTCAAAGGGATCGATTTTAGTAACGTCACGGAACAGTTCGCGAAATTCCAAGCAACAGTGTCGCAGAATATCCACATCGGAACGACAATACGCAAGAATTTCCTCTTGGAAGTTGAACACGTAATCATTGTCTTTCAAATTCTTATGGCAACGTAAAAACGTTTCCTTCGCTGCAGGACTCATTCCGTTTGGATTGTAGTAGGGAGTGGGTGGGATCGGTCCCACATAATTTTCGTTTTCTTTCTTGTTAAAAAGATGCGGAAAGTACCCTTTTGCCAGCTGGTCTATGCCAAAGGTTTTTGGAAAATCTGCTAATCTCATCGGGATAAAGTTCAGGGAATCGATAAATTTGATCTTAAACATGTCCACAGATAAGGAAAGCACTTTGGCACCGCGCACGATGACATCGATATCGTACTTGACACCGTTCTCCCGTAAGTATTGCAGAATAAAGTAACTGTCGTACCCCTGGAAATTATGGGCCATCACCACACTGTTTGCCCGTTCTTTTTGAAATAACCATTCACAAAACTCGTTCCGTGTGTTATCCCCTTCAAATACCCATTCGTCACCAGCTTCGTTCTGAATCACGCATAAATTGGGTTCATGATTTCCATTTTCCTGACGACACTCGAAATCAAAGAATAACATTTGGTCGTACCCGCCTTCCGTAACATCATCCTCAGAATGCTCAGACGAATCGTCACTGTCCGATAAACTTTCGTTTCGTTTTTCCACGGGTTGCATGTAACATTGATGGTCGCCAGGCCGGGTATACTCTTTACATATTGGGCACTTTGTCATACCGCAATGATGCGAATCTCTTTTATAGCGCTTGATAATTCTATGACACTCCGAGCACTTAACCATCGTCGCACAGATCGATTTTTTACTAGACTGTTTATGCCGATCAAAACATGCTTGACTTTTGAACATTCGGTTACAGTCATTGCAGCGAACCCAGGACTCAACGGGACAGTCGGGAAAACGACAACATGGACAGGCATTCGGGCATAGGTGATCTTCTCGATGATCATAAGCTTTCTTGCATGTATGGCAATACTTTTTACGAGCGAAAAACCCCGGCATTTTGGTAATGACGTCGTAATGATTATCGTAAAGGTACAGATAAATTCTCTTCTCTTGATCGGGACCAATATAAATAAGAGCGTTCTGATAATCGGAAAGGTACGTCTGAAACCGCTTGACTTCATCCAAACCGCAAGGACCCAAAGAGACGGCAGCTTTTTTATGTAATTCAAGAGCCAAACGGGTTTGCATAGCCCTCCGATGATCAACAATGCTCGTATACTGGGGATCGTTATCAATTTTGGCTTTCGCAACGACCAAAGCCCTCGCCAAACAAAGTTGATCATTGTTCCGGATCCGTATGATTGAGCGTTTCTTCATTAAATGCTTTTCCAAATTAATCTCAGCTCGCTTCGTACCTGTACCACCATGGGGAATTTCCACATGAACAACATTAACATCCACACTATCGTTGAGATGAAAATGGCGATTGGATTGGATCACGTGTTCAAACTCTGCCAACACACGTTCTGTAGTGAGACGTTCACGAGGCATGAACGGAAATGAAATAGGATTTTCCAGTTGCGGTGAATGCAGGACGAAACGTACTTGGTCATGAGGAGGAACGCCCTGCGTAACTTCATTAAGCAAGCCTTGAAATATTTCATGCAGCCTTTCATGATATTCGGAAAGCTCCACATTCGCAAATGCATTCGTAAATTGAATATGATAATCCATATCCGTGGTTTTAAACTTTTTCACATTCACTTGTTTCACACTCTGTACCGTAAAAACGTTGTCGCTAACCTCGTTCTCATAAGACCCTTCTTGTCCAGGTTCATTATCAACGTTGCTCGTCTCTTCAAAAGATCTTTTCTGTCCGCGACCGACTTGTGGTTCATCATCATCGCTGCTCATCTCCTCATATAATCTTTTCTCACCCCGATTAATCTGCATCGGAAGCTCTCCATCTTGCCAATTACGTAGAAAGCTTTCGCGTTGTCCGGGCGTCCAGGTATCTGTAAGATCCGGTACTAGTCCTAACCGTGCGTTTTCCAAACGCCATTCCTTTATCCGCAGAAAAATCTCCATTCCCTTCTCAAACACTAAACGTTCTTCCAGTTCATTGAATACGCTTTGACTTTCCAAAGCCAAAAGCTCCGCTATCGTCTGACATTCTTTAATCTTTCTTTCCATATCTAAACCAAAAAACGATTCCCTCAAACAAAATTATTACACAAATACCCTTTAAGTAAATATAAACATTTACCTGGAAAACAAGCTAGTTGTCAAATAAAATATCCAACAAAGCTCTTTCGATGTAAACAGTATATTTAAAGTAACTTCCCTAAGTGAAAATTATGAGCACAATAACGATAATCGCCCGTCTCCTCTATTTATACTATCCATCCAACACAGCTAACCAATCAGGGATGTGCATGATTATGACGTAATTGGTGTACTTACACCGTGTACGTACACCTAATTTATATTCGTACGCATCAACCAATCAGAGATGAACATGACGTAGTGGTGTACGTACACCGTGTACGTACACCTAATTTATATTCGTACGCATCAACCAATCAGAGATGGACATGACGTAGTGGTGTACGTACACCATACTATATAAAGCAAATCGTCACTATACACAGTCAAAATGAACTCGTGTGAGCAAGTATTCTGGGCAAAGTGTCTGAATGTAGACGAAGTTGTGCCTTGGGAAATCAGAAATCTGTATAATCTAATGAATGCTATCTTTTCGGAAGCCGTTGACTGCCAAGTCCATAAACTTCGAAAAGAAAAATGCTGCGGTTGTGAAGTAAATCATCCAAGTCAGAAAAGACATGATTGCCTCATGATGTCCGAAGAAGAGGGATGGATAATGCATGGATCGGAAGCAGTAAAGCGAGTGATCGAACATCAAACGGTTTTGAAACAATTCACCGAAGCTATACGCGTCATGAAACTAGACACTCATGAACATGTCATTTAACATTTCAAAAATCTAACCAAAGACCCCGAAACAACCGCCGAATTCCTAAAAGACTTGAAGTTTAAGTCAGACTTTCCTGAATATCAAGCCATTTTGGGATATCTCAGCTACTGGAGCGCAGAACATTAAACGGTTCATAGTTTAAAAACAATATATATATATATATATATATATATATATTATATATATATATATATATATATTTAAAAATTGTTTATTAACAAAAAGTATATTTCACAAATTATTAAAATGTTCTCGAAGTTTATCTTTGAGATAATTCTGATATGCCTTTTGTTCATCTTGTTCCTTACTCTCGAACCTCTCTTTCTTTCCTCTAACATAATATATAAAGGTAGGGGGACTGCTGAAGAGGTGCTCTGCAACAGGTTCCAGTGGATCTGCTTTAGGATTAGACAAATCGCATATAACTTCGATTAATGATTGATTGTCTTGGTATTCTTGAAATAATGATTCTATCAGCACAAGATCAGGGTTTTCTTCCAAGCTCAACAAGTGTTCCGTGAAATATTTTTCAAACGGAACATTCAGGATTTCAATAACATTACTAAATTCACGCCAGACGGCGTAATTAGTTCCGGCTTCCCCTATAGCATCAAGACCGTACATTTCCCATTTTTCAAACTCATCCAACATTAAGCAGTCCTGGTCACGGATTTACACCCGCAACAAAACAGGCTAAATTTCCCTTCAATGCTATGTGCAATGACCTTGGCGTATATTATTTCTATCATACGAAGCTTCTTGTTTGAACCGTTCATTATGGAAACCAATGTGTAAATGAACTTGTATTACTGATCGATTCAAATATACCCCCATCCCTATTCGCTCCTGCAGACTCATTACTTCCGGCGCTCCTGCATACTAATTACTTCCGGCGCTCTATTCGCTCCTGCATACTAATTACTTCCGCCGCTATACGGGACTTCCGCCGCTATACGGGGGGGGGTAATACTACTGCCGTAAAAGGATCGTCGCCTCGGTAGATTGAACTTTGAAGCATTTCTTGTTCATCATATTAAATACAAATGAATATTTGCCGTCCAAGGCCCTGTTTATATGGAGGCGAGTTACTCTGCAATTGGCGAATAAAACTTATCTAATGATTCGTATGAATTTTTGAGCAATATATTATATTTCAAATGCAAAGCACATACATTCGATCTCGGGTGGCCGAGTTATAAATAAATACCCGAAATCTTTTGTTTAATATGGTAACTATTCATCTCGCCTAAATATCTTGCCTCTTTCTGCCGGGAACTCGTCACTGGCGAGTTTATACTCGGCTGCATCGTCATGTAAACAGTCCCCCGGGTTTACTATAAGTTTCTATAATATAGCCGGGATCTTGTCGTTGACGAGTATAAACTCGACTTGCCGGGTAATTCGCCTCGATATAAATAGGCCTATAAAGACTCCCATCTTGTCTTGACATGGTTGTTTACTAGACAGACACGCACACGAAATGCCCTCTTGGCAATATAGTAAACATATCACGGAGATGCATCAACTGAAACACAGAAACAAGGCATCATCTTATGTTTATTGAGTTTTGTAACACCGTCCAGTAAAAAATTTCAAAATCGAATCAACCGCGACCGAGTTATTGAAATCCTCTCGCAAATAAACCTAGACCAATCGTGGTGAAATTTAACTTCCATCAAGACTGCGAGTACGTAAGGATGAACGCAAAGAAACTCAAAGGAACGAAAATTGGAATTTCGGAGCAGTTCCCAGAGGAAATTGAAAGTATTCGGAAGACGCTATATCCCGAGTTGAAAAAGGCGAAACGAGACGGTAAAAGAGCCAAAATCGTAAAGGATAAACTGATAATTGAAGGGCAAGTGTATGATTATTCATAGTCATATTAGTCAAGATAGATCTTGAAACACTATCGATTAAATACTACATTTATAATACTACATTATGGCTAGTTTAAATCGTTTGGATAGCATAAAGGAAAGATGCTCTTCTTGTTTAAAAATAATTAGGGAAAAGCAAAATTTGCTAAAATGTCTGACATGTGGCAGATGGTTTCACGCTGTTTCTTCCTGCGTGAAGTCACTCGACACCAACAATGCCGCAGGAAATACAATCAACATGTGTCAAAATTGTTTAGATGAAAATTTACCATTCCAAACACTTGATGATTTAGACTACGAATTTCCTGTATTAAACGGAAATATTTTAAAATTTAATCCTTTTGAAGCAGATAGAAATATTGCATTGACAGAACACAATGGGAATTTGAATAATTTATCAAAGATAAACTGTGAATATTATCTACCAAATGACTTCAATCAACTGGTAAAAAAAGAAAATTTTAATAATAAATTTTCAATGATGCACTTAAACATTAGAAGTTTAAATAATAAATTTGACACATTTAGACAATTACTAAACTCATTAATTATACCATTTCATATTAAAATGGGAATAACTGAAACCTAGCTAAATGGTAATAGTGATGATCTTTTTAAGTTAGATAATTACGACTTTGTAAATGTGAACAGAACCAATAGAAGCGGTGGAGGTGTAGGAATTTATATATCAAATGAAATGAAATACAAAATACGCAGTGATCTAATCATAAATGATGAAAATATAGTTGAATCTGTTTTTATTGAAATTATAACCCATAAAAAGAAAAATATAATAATAGGTGTAATTTATGGACCACCCAATAGTAAATATGACTTATTCGAAAATGGAATTAACAAAATACTAAGTAAAATTGACAAAGAAAATAAGATATGTTATTTGATGGGAGATTTTAATATCAACCTGTTAAAATCAGAATCTTGAGATTATGCTAGTATAGATTTCTTGAACAATTACTTACATCATCGTATATTCCACTAATACTAAAACCAACAAGAATCACAGAGCAGACAGCTACACTTATCGACAATATTTTTACTAATGATATTGAAGTTACAAATTCTAGTTCAAATGGAATAATTTTCTCTGATATTTCTGATCACTTGCCTGTCGTACATGTACGTATTCTGAAACACACAAAGAAACTCTTCTAAAAAATGAATACCTTTTGAATAGAAATATTAATGGTTCAAACACCCAATCATTTTCCAACACAACAAAGGTCTTTCTTGGGAAACAGTTACTTCAAACCATGATGGAATAGAGTCATATAATAATTTTTAAAATATATTTTCATCAACCTATGAAGAAAACTTTCCGTTAACCAAAAAGAAGGTAAAAACAAAAATTGACAAAAGAAAAAGCCCATGGATGACCAAAAGTATTGGTAAATCAGTTAGGATAAAAAATAAACTCTATAAGAAATTTTTGTGTCACCCTACAACCAACAACGAACACAAATACAAACAATATAAGAATAAGCTGAATCATATTATAAAAATAGCAAAATAGAAACAATATGACGAACAATTGATCAAGTACAAAACTGAAACAAAGTTATTATGGAGTACTTTGAATGAAATTATGAACAAACGCACGCGAAAAAGTAATCTACTACCAAAACAATTGTCAGGAACCAATCCTGGAGAAATAATAAGCAATCCTGACGAAATCGCCAATAAAGTTAATGAGTACTTTACAAATATTGGGCCAGGGATTGTCAGTAAACTTCCAAATACTGAAAAAACATTCAATGAGTACTTAATATCTAATAGATGTAAAAACAGCTTTTTTATTGAACCAGTCACTAAGTTCGAGGTAGAAGTTGAGATAAAAAACTTAAATTCCCCAAAAAAGTCCAGGATATAATGGTATAAGTACAAAAATTATCAAGAATGTTGCAAAAGAAATTTCTGAACCTCTCTCACATATATTTAATTTAACATTTGTCAGTAGAATTATTCCAGAGACATTAAAAATTGCTTTAGTCACTCCGATTTTCAAAGATAATGAAAAAGATAAATTTAATAATTATCGACCAATATCTGTCATTACTTGTTTTGCTAAAATTTTGGAAAAGCTTATGTATAAGAGATTAACCAAATTCATAGAAAAAAATAAGATACTCACTAAACATCAATATGGTTTTAGAAAGAATAGATCAACTGAACTAGTAATAATATTGAACTTACTGATAGAATTACAAAAGCGATTGATAAGGGAGAATATACATTAGGTATATTTCTTGATTTATCAAAAGCTTTTGACACTATTAATCATAAGATTATGATTCAAAAACTAGAACACTATGGTATAAGAGGGATAACACAACATTGCATGGTTTGAAAACTATTTGACTAATGGAAAACAGATTGTAAAATATAATGAAATAAGATCAAAGGAAATGATAACTAAAACTGGTGTCCCACAGGGATCAATTTTAGGACCAATTCTTTTTCTGCTATATATAAATGACATTGAAAATAGTAGTAAATTACTATCATTTATATTATTTGCAGATGACACAACTATTTCTTGTAGCAACAGTTGGTTAAAAACTCTTAACAACGCTACGCAGATTGAAATAAACAAAGTTACTGAGTGGCTAAACGCCAATAAATTATCCTTAAATATTAACAAAACTAAAATGATATTATTTAGGTCTTCAAATAAGAAACCTAAAACAGAAATAAGACTTAGAATAAATGAACAAAATATAAAACAAGTTTAAAATACAATATTTCTCGGTATTATCATTGATGAATGTTAAACGTGGAATGAGCATATAGCTCAGGTGGCGAAAAAGATCACTAGAGCCTCCGGTATTATTGCTAAGATTAGGTATTTCCTAAATCAAAATACTTTGAAATTAATATATTATGCATTGGTCTATCCATATCTTATTTACGGCATTTTAATTTGGGGTAACACCTATAAAACTGGATTTCAAAAATTATTGAATATACAGAAAAAGATTAGTATATTAATGTCATTTAAGACATATTTAGAACATACTGAGCAACTTTTTAAAGAATTAAGCATACTTGATATTTTCAAAATAAATCACAATTCAACCGCGATATTCATGTTTCAATATTACCATCTTCAAAACTTACCAGAATTTTTTAAAAATTATTTTGTAACAAACAGTCAAATACATCAGCATAATGCGAGAAATGCATCAAAACTACATATAAGTCCTTTAAAAGAACAAATTATGTAAAATTTCTAATAAGGGGATTGATGTGTGGAATGAACTGGAACCTAAATTAAAAGACATAAAAACTTACTATACCTTTAAGAAACAAATTAAACAACATTATATATAAAATTCTTGCAATTGTATTTTGTATCCAATATATTGAATAATTTTAGCCCAATCGTTGTAATAGGTATATATACTAGACAATCTTTATATTGTAACTCTTTGTTTGAACGAACCTTTATAGTTTTTGATATATGTATAAATAAATGACTATATGTATATGATCTAATACTTCAAATTGACTGTAAATATATTAATTAATTTAATTATTTGTTAAACTAGGGGCCTAAAGAAAAAGCCCAACAGGGTTTCAAGTAGGCCTCTAGCCCATAATTAATAATAATACAATTATAAGGAAATTACATGTAATAATAGTAGGGGAAAGAAAATTAAAAAAAAAAGAATTTGCCTTGACCGATATCAGCGATATGCACTTCTGATGGAATATGTCTATTTCGATTTTAGGCTCATCGGACACGATTTAATTGTACACAACCTAACATGCGGAGGATATGCCTTTTAATCAGCCGAAAAGCATATTTTACACCATATCCGCGTTTTACCCAATTGGGTAAAACGCGGATATGCCTTTGAAAGAGCCGAAAAGTATATTTTGCACCATATCCGCGTTTTCCCCGATCGGGTAAAACGCGGATATGCCTTTTAAAGAGCCAAAAAGTATATTTTACACCATATCCGCGTTTTACCCGATCGGGTAAAATGAGGATATGATGTTTAAAACATATTTTAGAGAAAAATAGGTCATCCGTCCGTCCGTCCGTCAGTATCAGCGTTTTACCCTAACCCGATTCTGACCTACATAATACCTCAGCTCAGTGGCCCCTACCAGTGCTTCCATTTTGAAGGAAATTTCGTTTTTGAAGGAAGTTTGAACTAGTTTGAGGAAATTATTAGGAAATTCGAATCTGAAGGAAACTTGAAGGAAATTTCGGAAGATCGAAGGAAATGTGAAGGAAATTGCCTTACTTCAAAAAAATTCTCAACCTCGTCCCCAGGGTATTCTTCGTGCATGGCGCGTGAAAAATGAGAAGATCCTGGTAAAGGCTGTGAAAATCTCCACGATTCATGGACATTTTAGTGCATGCGCAAAAGCGAATTTGCCTTGGCGTTGACCAATTCATTGCTGGCGTACAAATTTTTCATGGCCTTCTTGAGATGAAATATTTCAGTTTGGAAATGTATTTTTTTGCTAAAATATACCTCTAGATAAGTAATTTCTCTTCAAAAATTAAGATGTCCAGAGAGAGAAAATAACAAGAAGCTAGCACTTCTAATTTTTATCTTCCTGGCCGAAGAATTCGCGTTGTTTGTCATGTCTCACGGCTTGCTTGCACTGACAGTCTGACAGCACTGTCAGTGTGAAGGTAATTGAAAAACTACTGAATATATTATTGTTATTTATATTATAATTCAACATATAATGGCCCTATATGATTGGTGCTAATATGCCTACAAAGTCTATTTTTAAAGTGCTTAGTTTTGAGAAATTATGATTTGGTAATGAAAATTTACTAGTGGGCAATAGACTCATATCCATTTTACACTGAGAACGTCGGCACTTGTTTAAGTTATTTTGACTAAAAATTGTCGCATGTTAATAAATACTCTAGTATATAATAATACTGTAATTTATAGTTTATTCCCTTGGAGCATGCAAAGTGCCTACATGTGGAATAATTTGCCTTAGATCCACAGCTCTCACATAGCTTAGAACTCCCATAATTTCTTTTACACATCCTAGTACATTTTACCATTCTAAAAGTGTATTTCCCCATCCCCTTTCAGATAGCAGAAATTTCATTTGTATTGCGAGTTTATATTGTGCACTGAATGGTGAATAAGTAAAACTAAAAGATTGCCGACCAGCAGTGGCGGAAATCTCGGTGGGGCGGGGCGGCCGCCCCCCACCTTCGTGGAAAATGACGAATTTTCGTACATTTTGACCTATAAAAGGGCTAAAAAAAGCCTTTTCAAGTGCAAATGGGCGGGGGGGGGTTGTCGGAAATTTGAAAGTTTTATCGGAAATTTAGAAGGCTTGCACCCCCCCCCCCTCCCACACCGGAAAAAGTGAATTTCTGCCACTGCCAACCAGTTTAGAGATAGTTTGGTTCAAATGTAACTTATGTAAGTATGTTTCTCTCTCAATTAGAAATAAATCTACTATTAATAAATTAATTGGATAGATTTAGTGTAACATATAGATTTAGGTTTCCAGTTTGTGAAATGAAATGCAAATCAATTGTATTATATTTGAGATATTCATGCTTCTCAAACTTCAATATGGATAAAACAAGGACTGTCAAGAAGACTGCAACTGTATATGTACAACTTAATGGGGATGGGAATGCTGTTAGTCTTCGCATCTAGGAATGTTGCTAATATGAGATTATTAAGAAAACCGCAAAGTCAACAACTATCCTAGATTCCATAATATTAGGAAGCTGGCTCAACTATACTTAATATTCTGGTAATACTCAAGAAAGTGACATGGCAATTCAACAATGCATATACAACAGAACAAGATATTTCCATACCAAGACAATTCTTACTGAATTAGTATTTAGCTGATATTTCATTTCTTACAGTATTTCAAGTTATATACAGTGCTGTTTTATACGATGGCCGAGGAGGGCCACTTCTGACTTCTGACTTCCGACTTCCGAGTTCTGACTTCTGAGTTTGACTTCTGACTTCTGAGTTCCGACTTCTGACTTCTGAGTTCCGACTTCTGACTTCTTCTGCCTCCGACTTTTGACTTCTTCTGCCTTTCCAGCTAAACACGGCAAATCCAAACCGATTGCTTCGATTGTGCATTAATTTTGCTGATGACGTCTAAATATACCATAATTTTCTTATCCAGAATTTCCGAATTCATTATTTTATTTCATTTTTTCAATTTTATGTTGCCGTGTTTCCAACAGTATTTTCATTCTTTGTTAGCAATACTTATTTTGATATCGTTATTTTCGATAATTTAGTATAAAAAAGACTATGTTCAACGAGATATTCTCTACACCATTGCGATTTCACTGTCTCAACGGTTTAAATTTAGCTGTAGGGAACAATTAAATTGGATAATTAAAATTTAACATTTACATAACTTATTTCTAAAATTTAGCTCAAGAACTTTCCAAAAGTCCCGAATTCCGACAGGCTGACTTCTATACGATGGCCGAGGAGGGCCACATGACCGAGGAGGGCCACTTCTGACTTCCGAGTTCTGACTTCCGAGTTCCGACTTCCGACTTCTGACTTCCAACTTCTGAGTTCCGACTTCTGACTTCCGACTTCTGACGTCTGACTTCCCACTTCTGACTTCCGACTTCCAATTTTCTGATTTCCGACTTCTGACTTCTGACTTCCGACTTCTGAGTTCGGACTTCTTTACTCCGTTATTTTGAACTCATATAACTCGAACTCGTTGCTTTTTCGAACTAATTATTTTTTCCTTTGAGGCTTGACTCATGAAATTTAGCCAACTAACTTAAGTTTGAAATGGCGGTGTAACCGTGGTTCTACTGTGGTGGATAATGAAAATTTTGTCAATTGACAATATCAATTTGATTAATTTTATCGCCAAGGATTAATTTTATCGCCAAAGGTTAATTTTATCGCCAAAATAGATAAATTTCTTATCCATATGATTATATTGGTGATTGTTTTTTCTGGATGGTATTTTGGAAAGTTCTTGAGCTAAGTTTTGGAAATAAGTGATGTAAATGTTAAATTAAATTTTAATTTATTTTTAAATGTCCCCTACGGCTAAATTTGATAAAGAACATCCCGTTGAACATACATAGCTTTTTTCTACTGAAATACATAAGATATCAAAAATAAGTATTGCTAACAAAGAATGATAATACTGTTGGAAACACGGCAACATAAAATTGAAAAAAATGAAACAAAATTCGGAAATTCTGGATAAGAAAATTATAATATATTTAGACGTTATCAGCAAAATTAATGCAGAATCGAAGCAATCGGTTTGGATTTGCCGTGTTTAGCTGGAAAGGCAGAAGAAGACAGAAGTCGGAACTCAGAAGTCAGAAGTCGGAAGTCAGAAATCAGAAGTCGGAAGTCAGAAGTTGGAAGTCGGAACTCAGAAGTCAGAAGTGGCCCTCCTCGGCCATCGTAGTTTTAAGTTAAATAACAAATTTACTTGGTTCAAAATCTGGTCTTTGTTTTCCCTTCTCTGTACTGTGCAAGGGTAAAGAAAAGAGGTGGTAATATGCATCCTCACATGCGGCTGATAGGAACTCTCACTCATATGGAAAATGAATTGGGTCGTTCCAGAAAAGATCCATACTCCCCCCATGGAGGAAATTTCTGCCGTCCGGAGGGGGAGGGGAGAAAAAATTGTTTCTGATAATAGTTAATGTATTAGGACATCTGAAGGGGGTTAACTTCCTATTTCCTCTGTGGGGGTGGTATGGATGTTTTCTGGAATGACCCATTCTCAGTCATTTCAAAAAGTAAGCCTTGGAGCTTTTTTGAAATCGATTTCATTCATGCTTCAACAACCGATCTCCTGCATGTACATCATTGCAAAATGTGCAGCCAGCCTGCAATGTCCAAAACCACAGTTGTCCACAACATTTGTTCTCATTGAGTTGTCCATTGATGAGGAAGTGTAGTGTGGATACAAACAATTTTGATTTGGCTGTATTTATTTAAACACTTGCTTTATTATACCTCCTTCACTGATTCAATAGTTGCTAATGTAAATTTGTACCAGCTCTGCAGGACAGATGTGTTCAGTTTTTCCTATATGGTATGGAATAAAGATCATGCTGTTAGTATTACATGCATGCAAATGGTAATTCACAATGATGTAAAGGCTAATGAAATTCAATTATGGGTTGTCCATAACTACCAACATTTCCTGAAGTGTACAAACTATATGCTTCAGGTAGGCGGGTTCATAACCAATATACGCTTTTTAAAATGTTGAACTATAAACCCACCATCATCGGTTAAGTCGCTGTGGGAGGGGGTTGAAAAGTGTACTCTCTGTACACCTGTGATAATTAAGGATGATTTACAGTGTAACACTAATGCTAGATTTAACTGAAAATAATTTTATAGTTATGTTGAATATATTTTAAATGTTCCATTTGTGGAGGTCAGTGGCATCCATTCTTGTGGAAAATTCAAGTAGCTGTGCTCCAGCAGTTGGCTGCAGTGGCACAAATTATTGACATAACCAAAATTTTAATATTGCATAGGATCTTAGATTCGTATTTATGTCCCGCCTTCCTTCAGTTAATAAACTACGGATATCCAATTAGCGTTGCATTAACCAAGCTATGTTTACTGGCAAGCAATAAATGGACAATGTCTTTATGGGTAAATTTTGGCTATGAACAATTCATAGCCGCTTTATTGAAAATGATTATATAAAAATCAATAATAACATATTTTAATTATCAGAATAATACTAGAGTTCATTTTGATTTATATATTGATGTTCAATTGCCAGTAAAGGTGGCAGGACTACACGGCAAAGACTTTGCAATTCATTTCCCAGTACGCAAAAGGAGGAAATGAATATAAAAGTCTCCCCACCCGAGGGAATGCAACGCCAAGGACTATAATAATGCATCCCACTGGAAAGTCAGTGTATCATATACAAATAATATTGGATACACAATAACATTTGATTTAGAAAAGACAGACGCCCCTGCGCACCGTCGAAATTGAAAACATCGTTCAGGATGACTGTTCCATAAATGTTGAAACGATCGCCCTTGCTAGCGCTGCTTAGGTATAAAGTGTTTGTTGGTGACACATTCAATTGTTTGAAGACAGTGGCCCCTGCTCACCGTGCAATATCATTTACAATTGGATAGCATAGTAACAGTTGCCCCTGCTAACTGCCAAGTTAAATATATATGTAAGCTATAATATGTATTTTGGCAGAAATGGTGTTATCCGCCCCTGCTGAATAACACCATAAGCCATAATTGTAACCCTCCTCTAGACATCACCCTGCAATGCTGTTAAAAGAGGGTGCTAAAATAATATAGGTTATGTTGTAGTAAGCGTTTGAACGCGGATGCACTTGTGAAATGCATTCGATTTCCAACGACCCAGAATGCGTATCTGAGCATCGGACACCCCATGTTCTGCCGCAAATGATGCTGCACCAATTCTGAAACTATGAGACTTGTAAACGGTAGGATTGAGATTACAAAATTTTAGACAGTCATTCAGCTGTTTAGCAAACATGTTTCTCGACACTGCTGCCCCCGCAGGAGTAATGAAAATAGGTCCAGAGGAATTGCCACAACAGGCTAAATAGCGACATAACAGTTTTACTCGGCAGGGGCTATGACTTGGTTGACGATAAATGACCATGGAAAACGGTCGCTGATTGTAATTGTGTTTGTAGTCGGTAAAGGTTAA